TATTCCTAGTAAATGTTCTCAGCTATTATATTTCTCAAATAAATCAAGTTTCCCTAACAGTTCAAATAGATCCTTGGGCCATACCTTATGAAATGAAAAATAAGGATACGAAACAGGGTGTTCTTGTATTTCACGTCTAATTCTGTTAAACGCTTTAATAAGATCAGAATTTGGATGATAAGCTTAATTATGTTTCATTAAGCTGATTGGCCGATGGAGCTCGCATTTATCTGCACATGGTTTTTCAATCAGCGCTTTGAAGATGGATCTATCTCCAGAAAAGAATAGAATCTTATAAATAATAAAGCTGTTATATTGGTGTGAGTTCGTTTCAAACATCCTCTTTGCCACTGTTATATTCCGTGCTAAGGGAATAAACACATAACTCTAGGTGGATACTAGAAGAAGGTTTATTGTACACAAGTACAATATGAAATACGGTATAGTTATACACACAGGTTAATCTAGTAGTGAGTGCCACTAATTGGAAGGTCAGACGTGCTTGAGTCGTCTCGCTCTCACTCCCTCTGCAATTCTATCGTAGACAGTTGACTTTATAGGTACTTACTACCTATAGTGTAATCATTCATGAGGGTGACTGGTTATTCCATTATATCAAAGGCCTAACTATTTTCACTGATTTTACGAAAACAAAAATCATATAAAAAAGTTGATTCAATTTTTATAAATGTTCTTGCTAGATTTTGGAGAAGATTTTGGTATAAAATTTATTTTGGATTGAAACGAACGGAGATATTTGTGATTAAAAATGTTTCAGCTGTGAAAAAATAGCAATGAAAAATGAATAGAAATAGAATTAGAACTCCAGATGTATCTGCATTTGAAAAAAATCTGTCGAAAATTATCGCATTATAGGAATTTAATAAAAATTTCTCTATTTTCACCGCGAGTAAATTTATTAAACATATTCTTGTGAAATAAATAAGCGCAAATGTCTATTTGATGGCAAAACAAACCTCTTGGGAAATCCCAGTAAAAGTCTACTTAACCAGGAATAAGCGTTATGTGTTTTCAAAATAATTCTTTTGAGAATTAAAATCACTTTAAAGCAAAGATAAAACAACCGGGTTAGATATATGCTATAGATAGGGCGCTTTTAAACTGACACCCCCTCCAAACAACATAAAAAGAACAAAAAAACAAAATAAAAAAACCCCAAAAAAAAAAAATAAAAAAAAAAGTACAACCCCCCAAAAAAAAACACGGACATTTGAACAGGAGTAGAGATTTATCACTTGACTTCTGTTTAGGATCAGTTTTCCGGTTCCTTCTAAAATCTTTTCATTCTCTTTCATACACTGTAGCCTTTGCGCCTTAATGACATTGTTACCTTGCTTGGAGAGAATATATATATATTAAAAAAAAATAAGCAAAAAAACAAAAAAATGCAAGATATTAATTTAATATTTATTTACTAAATGATATAGAAAAATACTTTGTGTAAATGTTAAACGTTTTTATATGATTTCTAATAATTTAATGAAATTTTCCAAAATTAAAAATGTTTCAAAATACTTGTTTCACTTTTATCTGGGCTTGATCACGCTTGTAAGGTTTTGTTGGTTTTAAATAACTGTTTTAATTTTCGAGAAATAAAGAAACTAAACATGTTATCTATTGTAATTTTAATCGATTTAATGTTGCTAAAGGAAAAGTATGAATGTAGTGTGTACGAGTCGATCTTACATAACAACCATTTTCTTTGGGCATTTTTAATTTGCCATTTTGACATGTAAGATAGCTCTTAATCAGTTCTCTCTGTTTTACATCATTAATTATTAGTGACAGATCTTTTGTGTCCGTTTGGAAAGCCACACTGCAGAATGGATAAACGTTATTCCTGTTTTTAATATAACTCATCTTTTCAGATCTTTGATGCCTGCGACAACGCGTCCTTGAGTTTTATCAAAGCTAGTTTCTTTTTCTCCAAGATAAGGTTTAAACATTCTAGCACCTAAAAATAGATGTCTACTGTAAAATTAACTCGTATGAAGTCTAAGATGAGTTTACCAAGGCACTCTGACCAATCCACTTTGGTATGTAAACTTCATGAATTTAACCGTAATACTATGTAGATTAATAGCAAGGTCATATCATCTTATGGTTGAAGTACTTTGATACAACCGTAAGTTCTATGTTAAGAGTTTATTCTCTCATACTTCTTGCTTGTGGAACTTTACTTCAGCTTCTTGCTTTCCAGTCAACTTTGATCTTCAAAAATTTAAATGCAATGTCAATCGTTAATTTCTGTCTTTATTCTTGTTTTTTTTTTGCTCCCTCTCTCTCTTTAAAATGCAAAGACGAATCTTCAATGTTATTGGTCCAGATCTGGCATGTGGACTGCCACCCCATTCCATCGGTCGTAACATAGCTTCGCCGTGCCTTTTCTATAAATATCTTTGTGGTAATTGTTCTGATAAACATTCGACTATGGCAGCTAGGCTTTTTGAATTTAAGCGCAGTACTAAATTGGCGGCAAGGTCTCATCATTTTACCGTTGAAATTACTAGATGTAAAGGGTGTTTCAATAAGTTGGACGATTTTAAATGTGAATTAAGTTTAAGCGTCTAATTATTTTTTTCTTTTTCTATAAAATTTAATAACTTGAGTTCTTGGCAATTTCAAACATGGAATGATTAACAATCAAACAACGTATTAAAGTTATCGAATCCTATTACAAAAATGGACGTTCAAACAGAAATGCAATGAAAAGTTCCCAGGTCTTATCATTTCTCGACACAGCGAAGTTAATTGGCGACAATGATCGTGCGATTTGACGACTTTAGATTTCTTCCTTTGGGGTCATCTGAAAATTAAGGTCTATGCCAACAAACCAATTTACAATTCAACAGCTAAAGGATGGGATAATAAGGCATATTGGTGAGATCGAGGAGCAACTATGCAGAGACGTCATCAAAAATTTTGACCATCGAGTGGAGGTGTGACACCGAACCCATGGCTGACATTTGGGCGATATTATTTTTCACACATAATTGCCATGACATAACATTATCCAATAGAGAAATAAATAAATTTTCACCAATAACACTGATTTATTTACTGCTGACTTTGATCCCTCTTAATGAAACACCGTAAGTTTTATGTTAGCAATTTTTTCTCTCGCACTTCTCGATTATGGAACTCTCTTTCGGCCTCTTGCTTTCCAGTGAACTTTGATCTTCAAAAATTTAAATGCTATATCAATCATTATCTTCTGTCTTCTTAATTTAGGTTCTTTTTATTGTTCTCTCTCTCCTTAATAATGTTTTCTTTTTGTCATATTATCTGAAATTGAATAGCTCCTTTAGTTTTGTTGGCTTAATTGCCTTGCTTGGGGTAAATGATTACAAAACCTAATCATCTCAAATTAGAACATGCCAACCTAATCCCATCAATTACGTACTAAAATTCTCCTTATATAGAAATCTCTTTTAGGTTATACTTTAGTTTATTTATTTCTACTAAGTCATTTTTCCACATTGTTTTGATTTGTAAAATATCAATTTTTCATCATCAGTCATTAATCTTTCTAAAGGTAGTGGACGCCTTCATGGGAATGAAAATATATGCAGATGTCCATTTTTGATTTACGGTTAGTTTCATAGCAGACACATTTTCTACTTTTAGTCATTTTCCCCAAGTTATTATAGACTAGCTTAAAAGGCTGACTCCGTGCAGAATCTTAGGCTAGCTCATGTGCAAGGATAACTCCGGCCCAAAACTAAAGGAACCTCTTGTCCAACTTAGGATGGTTTGGCTTATTTTGTTTTACGGTATATCAACCTCAATGGGTTATTTAATGCTGACCAATTTTTATTGCTGGTAATATTTTGTTTTGTCAAAATCTGTGTCTGGTAATATATTTCCTTCAAAAATGTATTGCTGGTAATAATTTTTTCAAAAAAGTATTGCTGGTAATAGTTAACTATTTGCCCATAGCTGGGACCCTAACAGGTGCTACCACCCAAGGGCCAGGATGGACCTGGGAACACCAGCAATTAAGAGGTGGTTTCACGCTCCTCAAAACCTCCTGATCAGAGGCCTTGCTGCTGGACGCAGCTTAGGAAATAGCAATGCTAATTTTGAAGAAATAACTTTGAATTCCTCAATTTACTCAATGAAACTTTAAAACCTCACTTTAACTGTGATTTGGGCCCCTAAGTCCAATTCCGGTCAATTGACCGATTTAGGCCAAAAATTTGATTTGTCCCCAAACTCCAATTTGGGCCGAAATTTTAATTCATTCCAAAAAATTGAGTTCTTCAAATCACAAACTCTGTGGAACTTCAAAACCTTCCATCACGAAACCTTCACACTTTAACTCTAATTTCTTGGCATTTTGAAGAAATAAAATTGATTTCCTTAATTCGCAAAGTTTTGGAGACATTTTAAACTGAATTTGAAATTTAAAAAAAACTTTTAAATTCAACAAGTTTTTGTATTACTTTAAACTCAGTATAAATTTATAGCTTTTAAAATCACTAACATTTTTCAATTATTTTAAAATTTGAATCTCAATGCTGGATATTAAAGCACCAGATAAAGAGTAGATTTTCAAACCGGGAATCAACTACATTCAAAAAAGGCATATCTATGTAGAGTAAGTGTAGTCTAGACGGACAGATAGAATTTGACTTTTATTTATTTAGATAACGGCGAACAGTTTAATGTCTTGAATACAGTTGCATTTATTTAATTCTGCAACCCTAACAGGATTATTTCTATCTGGTCATCGTTAAGCTTAATACGACAACCTGTTCGTGACGAATTACTTCCTATTGATTGGGGTCAAGAACGCACCTACTGCACCTAAAAGAGGCTGTCTGTTTGCTGCACTTATGTCTTACTCATGCAAAGGAGATCTGAGACCACCTTTTTAACTCTTATGCACACTGTATACAATTCTACGTTTTTGACTCTCGTACAAACCGGGCCTATGTTCACATTTTCGACTCTCAGTGGCAACTCGGTTTACCAAACGGTTCCCGTACGATCACTGAAGTTAAGCAATGTCGAGCCTGGTCAGTACCCCGATGAGTGACCGCTTGGGAATAACAAGTGCTGTAAGCTTTGATGTGCGGTTGGTATAAACGATAATGGCTCGGAATTGTTAATCGGAGAGCCGAGTTCCAATTCATGTTAGGTCCATTAGATACATTTACGCGCAAATAACCTTGAGAAAAGTATGAATCCACCTCCTCACCCCACGCGCTATGGGTTATAGTAAGAGTTGTATCATTAAACAATTATTATCTCAAAAGAATTCTTACAATATGTCCTGGCTTTAAATAACCTACAAAGGGTCTATAAAAAGGTATATAATATAAAGATCTATAAGCGAATTAATCAAGCCACTTCCCAAGATCTGTATTCTGTGAATATTGGCTTTAAGAATTTGGTTTGGGTTGGAAGGTTCTTAGTAATCCCTCGTGTGTACTAATCTGGGTATATACTGTATCGGTTGAGGACACCTCATGGTGGTGTAATGGTTAACAAGCTTGTCTCGCTAGAACAATTACGACTGAGTAATGAGTTCGATACTCACTCGGTGCACCATACTTTCGGTCATGTGCCACATCTAAGCTACGCTTGGAAAACACTGGGCACCTCAGCATGGTGTAATGGTTAGCAAGCTTGTCTTGCTAGGTCAGTTACTACTGAAAAGTGAGTTCGATCCTCACTGAATGCCCTATGCTTTCGGCCTTGTGCCACGTCTAAACTTCTCTTGGAAAATCTTTACTTTCGGCCTTGTGCTACATCTGAGCTACGCTTGGAAAATCACTATACTATATCGGTTGAGAATCAAATTCCCCTTTAATAGTCAATGATATGCAAGATTTGCTTGATAACTTTTAATCAACAGAAGGCGCATATATATTTATCAAACATTAAATAGTCTTTCCCAGAGCCACTAAATGATTGAACTTTATTTGATGGTAATTATCTGTTAGGGTAATTTAATAAATATCGCTCTACGGCGAGGCACAAATCGATATTTATTAAACTTGTCTAAACCTGTCATATGGCCTTAAAAGCTGAGCACACTACGGAGATCGTATTGTCTAGTGAGACAAACCTGTCGTTCACCATACTATAGCTGGCGCCAAGTTTAGTGACGTTTAACATGAAAAAAATCGTCAGCAGTCCATTCAATGAAAACAGAAGTGAGTCAAAGAAAGAATGGTCTGTGAAACCATCTTCATCATCAGAACGTTTATCCGATTGATATATGGAAATGGTAAACAACGCTCATATTTCAACAGAGTATTTTTCTATTCATTCTAGAGTAATGTCCTTTGGAGAGGCACTTTCCTTTGCCCTGTATCCTATCTCCAGATATCTTGCAAGAAAGAAATTTAATCACTGGTATGCCACGATGGTCGAAAGCGAACTGA